AGTCCAAACTCATTAACTTTGCTTTCAAAATCCTCTACAATAAAATTCCAACCTCCCTCCCCAACTTTATCCCAAATGACTCGTCTATAGCCAGTTTCCTATGGTTGAGTATTTACATGGATTGCTTTTCCTATTTTATTTCCTAATACCAATTTTAGGATTCCTAACTATGGAACCAAGGATATCCAAAGATATAAGGAACACAAGCCCTAGACACAAATTCCATTGTTCTTACAAGCACTGTGACATAGCATAAGTAACTTAGGCTCTCTCTGTCTCCATTTCCACATCTACAAAATAGGTGTACAGTACCCACATCACAGGGCCTTTGTGAAGCTTAAAGGTGTTAATTTTTATAAAGCCCTTAGAATGACACTTAGCACTCAGTGTTTAACTATTATGATTATTACTCATGTTACATATTTTCCCAATGATTCAACAATAACTGAACACTTTTGCAGCAGAAACATTTGCTAATGAATGAAATACCTTCTCCCACTTGTAAGAGAAAAGAAAGGTGACTGCTAAGTCCTGTAACAGTGGGGCTCTGGTGCCAGGAGCCTAGACTTCATTCCCTCCTCCTCTCTGCAGCATTCTTTCAGGAGTCAGGGCAGAGGAAAGAAAGGAGGCTGGGAGATCTTGTCTGTGGTTCTGGAAAATCGACAGAGGATAGCCCCAGACTCCATCTGTGAGTGATGCATTCTTTCTTGAAACACAGGTCAGAAGTTGTCCAGGAGCAGCCTCCTTTCCTGCAGAGAGCGGAAAGAGCCAGTGGTATTTCGAGGAGCTTCCTGTGAAAGGAATAATTTTCAGGTCATTGGGATAGCAATAATATTAACAGCCAACACGTTGTCACGTGCCTGCACTCTTCTATAAATATTTTACGTGTACTATATCACTAATTCTCAAAGCAAATATATAAAGTAGGAACTCGTTAATATTCCCTTTTAGAGAAGAGGAAACTAAAGAACAGAAAGGTGAAGTGCTCACCCAACGTTGTATCGCTAGAAACTGACAGAGCGTGTGGAAGGTGGGGGAAGGCGGGCTGGGCAGCGGAGAGCCGGGGACACCCTCAGACACTGCCCCATCCAGGTCCATCGCCAACCTGGGGACCGCCCCAAGCGCAGAGGCTCCAGAGAGGGGAAGGCGAGCAGCCGCCCCGGTCCCTCGACCCCGCCTTCTGCCGCTGGCCGCGGATTCTCTTCCTGGCGACCGAAGCGCGGGCCCCGCTGACCCTACGACCAGGCCATACAAGTTAAAAGAGGTCGCGGGGTCGCGAGGCTCACTCACCTCTCACAGAGGAGCCGAGGCCGTGCTCACAACCTCCGGCAGCGGAAGTGCCTCGGACTACGGGGAGCTCGGGAACTACAGTTCCCAGGATCCCCGAGGCGCACGGACGCCGCTGCTCCGCCCCTTTAGGGCGGAACTGCCGGCTCCAGCTCTCAGGGCCTGACTCGTATTTCCCAGAATCCCCGAGTAGAGCGGGCTTCACCTTCAAGCCTTCAGGTAGCCGAAATGCCACCAAACACTCAGAGCACTAGATTATACTTCCCTATTGCTCAGCGGAGCAAGTAACAAAGCCATGCTTTTTCCTGGAGCGGAAGTGCCCCAACCACAGAAAGCTTCTGGACTTCACGTCCCAGAATCCTCTGTAAGGCTGAGCTTCCCGCCAGCCTGCAATTTTCCTTTTGAATTAGCAGGTGGAGTCTAAGTAAGTGCTTATAGAACTCAGCCTGCCCTTTTACCTTTTGCCTTTCACACGTGGCAGAAGTTGGAAATATA